CTCCTCCTCCTCCTATCTGCCTATGCCTCCTCCCCCTCCCTCCTCCCTGCTCACCCTTTTCCTCTCCCTCCTCCTCCTCCTCCTTTTCCTCCTCCTCCTCCTCCTCCTCCTCCTGATCCTCCGATTCTTCATCCATCCTCTCCCTCTAGGCGGTTGACGTCTTACCCTGCCACTCGTTTGGGCATCGTTGTTTGATAGGCTGGTGGGGTTACGCGAAGCGTTTAGAACGTTGGGTCACATCAGGTCGGTGTATATCATGACCACCTATTTCACATGCACGAGACATCGCGTTGCATGCAGACCAACTAATTCAACTCACCACACCGATACAACCACATCGCGCGGCATCGCCTGACCTCACATCAAGTTGCTCTCCATACACACCTGTCTAGTTCCGCAACAATGCATCTTAACATGCGGCAAGGGCCCAGAGACCCGATTCTTCTGCCCAACAGGCTGGAGCCTGCGCACTCTGACGCAGCAGCATGTCCAGATCGGCCTCGCAAGGGGCTTCCTTTTTCTTTCATTCAAAGCGTCGCTCGCAAATCCTCCGGGCAAGGCCCTCCGACGAGGTCGCTACCCTGACAAGGTCGACATGTGATGCAACGATGTCCATCACGGAGGTCAAACTCCCTGTGCTCCCTTCGCATATGCAGCTAGACACGCTGCGGGTCTATCCAAATCGATGTGCAAGAATGACTCTTTGCATGCTCATCGGAGGTCCTCGGAAATGTCTGGCAGTAGTGGTCGTTCCCCACAAAAGTGGAACGGGTGGTATCAAAAATCACAATGCAGCGCGTCTAGGACATTGGGGGGGAAAACAAAACAATCGGCGGAATGCGTGGGATGCCTTGCGCGCTATTGCGATAATCAGAACAGGGCACCCCGAAAACATGCATGAATCCGCAGAAACAGCGGAAACGGAAGAGACAGTGTCGACGTCGACTGTGGCAGTAGCAGCAGCAGCAGCAGCAGCAGAAGTAGCGATAGCATTTGCAGCAGAAAACTACATCAGCCGCGGTAACATCATAATCACCACTGCCACAGCATGCGCTCGCATCTGCAATGACGCATCCTCGACATGCAGCACTGAATTGATGACTACAACGACTGGTGTGAACTTAGCAGCAGCAACGTTACGTAAAACATGGTGGCACAAGAAAAGGGGTCTGAAAACAAACCTGACAGGACTAGCCCGAATGAGCATGGTCAGCCTGGTCGGCCCAGACCACGAGCACGGAGACTGAAGCGGGTCAACCTAAGCAACATCTCGGCCCACCCTTCCAAAGAGAAATGACCGCCTCGTTGTTGAGCGCATAGAAGTTGTGGCCTCGCTTCAATCGAAGCCTGCTGGGATAAATCATAAGTTACGTGCTTCTCTCCATCATATCTCTCTCTCTCTCTCTCATTGGTGATGATTGTGACAATCCCCGAGGATGCCCCTGCGTGAACTGCAATAGCTTATATTTGATTGTAACCCACACTGTCGTCCCACATGGACAACGAGGAATCCGCCAGCCCCCTTTGGGGACCACTATGCTGCGGGGCGGAGGTTTCCTGCAACCTGCACCAATACAAATGTCCAGCTTCTTTCTGCGTCCTACTGCACATTGTTAGTGTCCGCGCGAGGGGGGGGGCACAAAACCACCATTCTATCTACCCTTCTCTCCAGGGGTTCTCAAAACTCCCAGGGGGTCCCAGGGAACGTAAAAATTTAACATGTTCGCGCTCTCGAGGCCCTACTCCGCCTCAAATAACAACAGGTTCGCGCTCCCGATGCCACGATCCCTTGCACGTTGGTCCACATTCGCGTCCCCGAGCCTACGATCCATCTGAACTACAACACGTTCGCCGCCCCCGAAGCCACGATCCCTTCCACGTTATCCCAGATTCGCGCCCCTGGAGCTACGAGCTCTCGTAAATTACCGTGCGCTCGCTCTCCCGAGACCACGATCTCTCGCAAATCGCGCCAGATAGATCTACACCACTGGAGACACGATCACTTACAAATTGCGCCACGTCCGTGCGCCCGAGGCCACGATCCCGCCTAAAGTACCCCAGATTCGTGCCCCCGAAACCACCACAATCTTCATACATTACGCAAGATTCGTGCCCCCGAGGCGACGACCCTTACCAAATCACGCCAGGCTCTCGCCCCCGAGGCCACGAGAAGTGACGTCCCGATGACCAGCCGTCCTCCCGTGAGGTTCCGAGACTGCTTCAAGTCGGCGCCCAGGCATCCCAACCCAGATCTGGCAGGCTCCGTGATGATGGAGGGGGCGGCCAGCGGCGGAGGGCGAAGCCCGTAAGGATAATTGCGCGTCGAGGGCGCTCTGGGCAGGGACGCCGGCTGCCAACTTAGGTCGAACTACTGCGTGGCCTGCCCAGAGCTTTTGAACGGCTTAGCACAGAGCATGCCCGACGACTGTGCTCACGGCTGCTGGCTGGGCCAGATCGTTGGAGCGCACACAGCCTGGACACGACCTGCAAGCTCTGAATAGGACTCTGCGCCTCCGAAACTCTTTCGAGTCCAAGGTGGACCCAAGGTGGATCGAATAGAGACGTGGGCATGCGGCTCAAGAGATAGAACGAAGTAACGAGATCGAGACCGAGCATGGACATTGTACAGCATACGCGGCTGCAAACATCATCGAAACACACCATGCAATCCTTGAACGGAGCGGACCTTTCAATGGACCTTGAAGCGATCAAGCTTCCACGAGCCCCGTACAGGACACTGGGCCCCTGCACGTGGACCACTTCGCGTCCCCCTGAGGCTGCGGGGTCGAGATCATTTGCGACCAGAACAGCTGCCGACGTCTACTGCACGAGAAAGTCTGTGGAAAGAGGCACCTTCGGAGACCCGCGCGGACTTCTCGGGTCGGCGCTGGACCCCCCTTCCTTGGCGCGCGAAGCTCGCCAGAGGCGGCGCTGGGAGCGCCGCCAGTGGGGGGCACCCCGCCGACCCAGGAGATCCGCGCCTGCCTCCGAGAGTGTGTGATCACGAAGTTTGTGTTCCTCGAGTCCATGGGCTGGACCTCAGCGGTGCTTTTCGCTTTCGTTTTGGTATCGTTTTCCCTCGTTTTGTCTTGAGTTCTGCCTTTACCGCAAGACGACATCGAAACGAAAGCGGCCCACGAAATCGCCAAAACACCGTTTAGGTCCACCCCTGTCACAAGGCAAGTGCAGACCCCGGTCCTTGCGAAATCCTCGGGGCTCATGTCGGGCAGGTCGCCGTCCCCGCCGCCATCGTTCCTCCCCAGGGGGCCAGCGCTCCAGAAGCGGCAAGGACGAATAACGCACAGCGCGAAGAACGCACAGCGCGTACTTGCGGGCGTGAGCACAAGCACACACACACACAAACGCACACACACACACACTTTTACGTCGGCTGCTAGACAGAGTGACTGCGCTGGCGGAAGAGCATTGGTAGGGCATACGAATGCGAATTAAGCCGAAATGCACGGGGGAAGGAGGAGGGACACCTGGCGAAGGCAGGAGGGAGACGGCAGCCGGGCCCGCTCAGCGCGAAGCCAGACACACACGCACACACACGCACAAATACCCACAAGCATACAACTGCATACACTGTTGACCAGGCCACCCGACTCTCCGCGCCGCGCCGCGCGCTGCGCGCCGCGCGCTCATCTTCGTGCCCTCGCGTCGCCGCCCCGGAGAGGGGCACCGCTACGGCCACGGTTGAAGCGCGCCTGCGATCGGATCCGCGGGCTGCGCTCGTACACGAGCTTCTGGTTGGGTCGGACGCGTACGCGGCCGAGGGAGTTGCGGCCAGCGGGAGTGGCAGGGCCCCCGCGGGGCGAGGGCACTGGAGAAACATGCGGTCATCGCGCGTTCGCGCGTGAAAGAGCGCGCGTACCTGCGTGCGTGCGCTTGTCGAAAGCGCGGTGTGTTCACGTGCGCGTATTCGCGAGAACGTGCGCCTGCGTGGCCGTGCTGACAACGCTGACGGCCCGAACCACCTACGACGACGCTGCGGGCGACATACATAACTCGGACAGGTACCGTCACCCTGAGCACGCCCTCGGCGACTTTTCGACGGCACGACTACAGCAGCTCCACCCTTGGAAGATCGCCGTGGTGATGGTGGCAGTCTGTCTTGCGCGCTGCCCAGGCGCGTCGCAGGGCCACATGCGTGCGCCCATCCCCCGGCGACCCCAGGAGGAAGGATCGAGGAGGGATGGAGAAAGGAGGAGGGAGCACGAGGGAGGAGGGGGCGCTCCTTCTCCATCCACCTCGTCCCTGCACCCCAAGGCCGTGCATTCATGCGCGAGCGAGATGTCAGCTGCATCCCTGAGGAAGCCAAGATCAGCCTGTTGTACACGATTCAGCTGGAGCGAGCATCCGAGGGGATGCGAAGGTGAACGCAGTCAAATGCTACTTTGAACTCGCTAAGCTGCACCTCGTCCGATCTCTGCATCCTTCCTGCCTCCGCCCTCGACACGCCCTTGACCATGTAATAAGCGCTTGGCGGCCTCTGACGCGCACCACCTATACCTGAAAAGCTGACGAACTCTCCCGCCCTGTCTCTCTCCTCTGCCTCGAAGGAGCTCCCCTTCCCATCGCCAGTCCTGCCGCCGTTCAGCCCTCCGCTATCTCCGAGCCCTCCGCCGTGGCCGTTGAGACCCATCGGCCGCTGGCAGCGCCGGGGAGCACGGGGAGGCGACGAAAGGCTCCCAGGAGAGGAAACGAACATGCCAAGGAACTGCAAGAATGCTTCGGACATGAAAGAGTGTCCTCGGAGCCCCTCGCCCCTCGCAGATAGTAGTGGCGCTCCACCAGAATCCGGGCGCAACTGCGAGCCAAGTGAAACAGGCTGCACATGTCCAGGTAGCTGACCATCATGGAAGGTGCACCCCGCTGCCCGCCGCACTGTTCCAGGGCAGAGGCGCTGGGAGCCTGTGCAGCACTTGCTCAGTCATCATCCCCCCTGCCCCCTGAAAATTAAGTCAGTCCCCAACGTTCTCTGTACTGGGATGCTGGGTCTGTTTTCCACCACCACCACCACCATAAGTTGGAGGGGGGGAGGAGGAGGAGGAGGAGGAGGAGGAGGAGGAGGAGGAGGAGAGGAGGAGGAGGAGGAGGACGACGACGACGACGACGACGAGGAGGAGGGGGACGAGGAGAAGGAGGAGGAGGAGGAGGAGGAGGAGGAGGAGGACCCCATCCGCCTCCAATGTATGGTGGTGGTGGTGGAAAACAGGCCTGTCATGGGGGCTCGATTGGCCGACGTGGCCCGGCCCAAACGAGTCACCCGATCTCTCGCCCAGAGCTCCTTCCGTCTCCGCGCCACGCGCTCCAGCTGCCGCGCAGCGCGCCGCCACGGAAGCCTAAGGGCGGCCCCGAGAGGGCCCCACGAAGCAGCGTGCCCGAAGGCCGCCGCGGCAGCGACGGATGTGGAGCTGTGCGTGGCCAGCTGTTGGCCCATGCACTGGTCGCCCACGCACCGGTGGCCTGGCCCTTCCGGGAGAAGGACGTGGTGCTGTCGGGCGGGCGTGGTCCTCCTCAGCCTCGTCCTCCCCGTGTCTCTCCTCCTGCCCCTGTCTCCTCCTGCTTCGTCATGCCTCCTCATCCCTCCTCGTCCTCCTCCCCACCCAAACTTCCTACCGCCCCATCCGTCATTATCCTGTCGCGTCACCCTTCCTCCCTCCCCCGTGCCCCTCCTCTTTTCATCTTGCCTCCTCCTCCTCCTCCTCCTCTTCATGCTGCCTCCTGATGCGTCCGCCTCCTCATCCTCCCCCACCACTACTACTTATAAATAGATCCTTTTTGTCGCACCCACAGACGTGCTCGTAAGGCGGGCCGGGCGTTTCGGCTGAGACCCCCTCACTGTGTATGATCCTGGAGCTTGAGATCTACAACAGCTTTATGGATGGATGGCGGGTCGTTTTCAAAATGCGGTTGTCGTCGCAGGGCCGCAAACACTCATCACACCAATTCGCAACGTTTTCAAGGATTGAAAGCGGCCCCTTTTTCAAAATGTGTCTCTCGCCACAGCGCCGCGCACATCCGTCTCAACAGTTCGTAACACATTAAAGGATGGAGGGCGGCTCCTCTTCCAAAATGTTGCGCTCGCCTCAGCGCCGCGCGCATTCGTCCTAGAAATGCTCAGTCGGCTTAATGATCCGTAGGGCCGAAGTCCCAAGGATGGCCGTGGCACAGCTTAGAATTGTCAGGACGCAATAGTCACGGTGACTCGCGGCGTTGAGATTCTAGAGATCTGGCATGACTGAAGATTCTCAAGCGGTTGTTTATCAATGGGCACACCTCGCAATGAAAATCCGCCGATCAGGCATGTGAGCTTGGGTTCGCTTAAGATTCGCTCTGGAAGAGGAGGGGAGGGGTGAGGGTGCGCGTTCCGTTTTTGGGGCCGCGCGGGGTTTGCAATTTGTATACAAGGACACTCTGTACATGCGATGCATGGTTGGCGGTTTCCCCGGCTGGCTGATTTGCACCTGCAACATAGAGACCTCTGTAGACGGGCTGATTTCCGGCCAGGGGTTGCAGATTTTATAGAAGTACACTCCATAGATGCCAAAGAACGCCGCCCCCTGAGCTGAATGCTCAGCAGACGCTTTGCCACTTTGCACTGACAACGGCGTTCCTACACCACAGCGCAATGTCGCACGCACGTTTGCGACCGCGGGTGTCGCTCCTTGCGTGAAAGAGGTGTCGTGACAATCCTATGCACATGTGGCAAAGACCTCGACTCCCTCGCGCACGAGAGCGATTCTTCGCCGCGCCATGGAACTCCTTCGCATTATCGTACAAGGGCGCCCCTTTTCGCAAAGCTCGCGTTGCCTTGACAGCCTGAATCAGCCCAAGCCTTCGCGACACTGTCCTTCCATGATTGAATATACTTCGCCTTATTCACGCCAGCTGCCTTCGTTTTCAAACTTGTCGGCCGGATCTTCCGGAGCTCTTTCACTGTTTCATCAGGCCTCCGCAATACCCTCGGCACGATTTTCCTCTGCAAAGCCTGCCTGGCGACACCCGCTGCAGCTATGCATCGTTCTAGGTGTTTCAAGCTCGCAAGAGCACTGTGGTCCACTCGATTCCAGTCTGCCTCAAGCTTCCCCTCCCTCTCGTCACACCAGCAGCAATACGTTAATACTTGTGTAACGCGACAATGCCATCTCCGCCTCGCTTGCCCTGCCTTTCAATACTTCCAAGCGCGCAACAAGGGAGGCACGCAAATGCCTTTGCAACTTATTTACGGGCTTGGCCAGTCCAACTTTTTTCTTGTTTACTACGTGTGGCCTCCGAATCGCAGCTGGACCGCCCTCGATCTCTGCATCATCCTGCACTGCGGTGCCGCTGGCAGCTGCTGTGGCTGTCCGTTTCGCCAGCGCCTTCCCCTTCGCCACCGCCGTGGTAAAACAAATGTTAAACTAAAGTTTGGACAAGCTTGGACCTCGATGGCTACAGGCCCACAACACTGAACCTGTCTCTTCCTCCGCCTCCTCCTCCTCCTGATCACCATCACCACCACCCTCGTCCTCAGCATCCTCCTTGTTACTATCACCACTACCATCATCATTGTGTTCATCCCCCTGGTCACCACGAGCCTCCCCATCCTCTCCTCCTCCTCCTCCTCCTCTTCCTCCTCCTCCTCATCCTCGTCCTCATCTCACCATCGTCATCGCCATTAGGGAGCAAGGACAGAGGGAGGGAGGGAGGGAAAGGAGGGAGTCGAATCACAACACTCGGATCGCCCTGGATCGGTGGCGCGGGCCGCATACCATTACAATAAATCCCATCTGCCCCCTGGGCGTAGGTGGTCTGTGGAGCTTCCTCTTCCAACCCTTCTCTTCCCCTTCGGGAAGGGTTTCACCCCTGTCTCTTACCCCCTCCCCTGGATTTGGACGGGGGTGGTCGCGGGTAGTTGGAGCGTTTAAGATGGCCTCAGATGGCTCCAAGAGGGCTTCAGAGAGTCCAAGATGGCATCCAAGACGGCTCCAGACTCGCTCAAGATCGCTCAAGATGGCTTCCAAGATGCTCCAAGAGGCCCCATAAGACCGCCTCAAGACGGCTCCAAGTGCCCAAAGAGCTCCGCCAAGAGGCCCCCCCAGAGACTTAAGTCATTCAAAAACCATAGGAAAACCAGTGTGTTTGGTAGTATCGTCGGTTTGCTTCCGATGGCCATCCGAGGCCTCAAGATGGCTCCGACGGCCTCGAGAGCGCCCCACGAGCGCCTTAGTCAGGCACTCTAGAAGGGCTAGGATAACTAAAGCTCCCCTCTGTTGGCATTGATGTCTTCCAAAATGGCTCCAAGAGCGCCCCTAAAGATCCCAAGAGCACCCCAACTCCCAAGAGACCCTCAAGAGGCCTCAAGAGGATCCCCGAGGCACCCAAGACGCTCAAAGACGGCCCTGGGCCCGCCACGATGCCCACCCCGGACGCCCCAAGAGGCCTCCAAAAAGCTTCCAAGCGACATCCGAGGAAACTCCGAGAGGCATTCAAGAGGCTTCTGGCTCTTTTGTTTGCCCTCCTCCTCCTCCTCCTCCTCCTCCTCCTCCTCCTCCTCCTCCTCCTCCTCCTCCTCCTCCTCCTCCTCCTCCTCCTCCTCCTCCTCCCTCCTCCTCCTCCTCCTCCCCCTCTCCCCCTCCTCCTCCTCCTCCTCCTCCTCCTCCTCCCTCCTCCGACTCCTCCTCCTCCGACTCCTCCTCCGACGCCTCGTCCTCCTCGTTCTCCTCCTACTCCTCATCATCATCCGCTTCCTCCTCCTCCGGCTCTTATTGATAGTAGTCCTAGTATGTTTCGTGGTAGAATAAGTATCAGTACTGTATGTCTGATGGATAGGATTGTTCGCATTATTGGTAGAATGCGTGATATTCTTATTAGTGTCAGCGTGATGATGATATTAATATCAGTCTTATCACTAGTACGATCAGTATTCGTTTTAGTGTCATGCTTATTAGTAGTATTCGTCCGTGTGGCATTCGCCATACTATTAGTGTGTTGCATCTTCCTCTGCCTCCTCCTCCTCCTCCTCCTCCTCCTCCTCCTCCTCCTCCTCCTCCTCATCATCCTCATCCTCATCCTCATCCTCATCCTCATCCGCCTCCTCCTCCTCCTGCTCCCTCCTCTTCCTCCTCAGTACCCTCCTCCTCTTCCTCCTCCTCCTCCTCATTCTCCTCCTCCTGCCCCTCCTCCTCCTCCTCCTCTCCTCCCCTCCGCCTCCGCCTCCGCCTCCGCCTCCGCCTCCTCCGCCTCCTCCTCCTTATTCTCCTCCTCCTCCGATTCCTCCTCCTCATCCGACTCCTCCGACTCCTCCTCCTCCTCCTCCTCCTCCTCCTCCGACTCCGACTCCGACTCTGACTCCGATTCCGACTCCTCCCTCACCCTTTCGTGGAACGACAGGCTCCCCATCTCCATCCCTGTGTTCTTCTGCATACTCCCTCCCGTCCTTGATCATGGCAACTCGTCTGGGCATCGTCTCTAGGTGGGCTGCCCGTCTCCTTCTCCTGTACCTTTCTTGTTCCTGCACTTTCCCGGGCATCGTTTCTGGACGGGCAGGTGGTGATACGAGAAGCGTCAACAGTTCCTGCAGGGACCTATGAAGAAGAAATTTGGAGGGAAGGTTATTGCAACATCGTCGAGGCGCCCTGGGCCTCTCCCTCCTCCGCCTCCTCCGCCTCCTCCTCCTCCTGCTCCTCCTCCTCTTCTTATGTTTCTGTTTCTTCTTCATCCTTCTCCTCCTTCTCCTCCTCCCCCTCCTCCTCCTCTGCCTCTCCTTCTCCTCCTCCTCTCCTTCCTCCTCCTCCTCCTCTCCTCCCCCTCCTCCTCCTCCCCTCCTCCATCCCCTCCTCCTCCCCTCCCCCTCCCCCCTCCCCCTCCCCTCCTCCCTCCCCCCCCCCCTCCCTCCCCTCCCCCCTCCCCCTCTCCTCCTCATCACCCTAGTAGTTATGTTTCTTGCGAATGGCATTGGTACCATTCTCACTGCTACTCCCAATGTCCTAAGAGGGGTTCTTGTTATTTC